TATGAATAACTATTTTAATTATAATCTGAAACTTGTGCCTGAGTACCATAAATTCCACTTTCTTTTTTGTTTAAAAAGTCTCATTTTGTTAAGAGGCCAATTGTGCATATTATAGATTGAACACTGAAACTTAATCTTATACTAAAAGTGGATCATCTGTATATAATAACATATAATAATAATAATAATGATAATAATATATTTTCTTTCATATAAAGAGCCAACGTATTCTCGACGACTCAGTAGGGTTCAATCCATCACGCTGAACTGTAGAAAGTGCTGCATCTTATTAACAGGTTTTATGTCAACTTGCACTGCCTGAGTGTAGAAAAGATCGCATTGTTTTGCAGAACTAGCATTCAGTGCAATGGGAAGTTATGCTCCATGAGTTCTGCGTGAACTCTTGTTATCACTTCGGCGACACTCCACAGCGAACATCTGTTTGTTTTCTTGATACATTAATATCATGCCTTTAATCCGACTGAGCGACTGTCACAAAGTTGGCAGCCCTGTGCCGAGTGGGCGGGGGCTTATGACAGTCATGAGTAACATGGCAGCGCGAATTAGAACACACGTGCCACGTGATGGATTCTTTTTTTCAAATTTAGAACGCCGTGGCATTGAAGCAGCTTGGTTACACTGCGAGGGATGTCTGTCTTAGAATGGTTTAAAAATAGCCCATTAGTATACAATTAAGCAGATAACTTGACAATTGCAAGTTGTCACAAGTGTGACCAGCCTCTGTTGTCACAGGTGCTAGTCCGCAGTTACAAGACCAGTCTGTCTTATTCCTGCCTCTCTCCCATTTCCTCTTAAATTCATTTTCCTGTCCTTTTTTATTATCTCTGCCTCTTCCTTTTTATCTGTCTTTCATTCTTTCACTCTCGTTCTTCATTTTTATTATACTTTCCTTATTTTGAAAAAAAAATAAGCTGAAGCTTACGAGATTGCCTGCAGTATAGCTTGCCATCGTGGTGGACCGCACAGAAAACACAGCCTTCACCATTGGACGCGTCATTTGCTTTACGATCCGTGTGATATCAAAGGAAAGTAGGATATTCATTCTTCCCAGAACTTCTTATCTTTCTCTCCTCATTTTATTCTCTTCTTCTTTGAGCCTGTTTTCGTTTTTTTTTGTCCTTATGTCTGTCTCTTTCATTTCTTTCACTGTTTTCCCTTCATTTCCTTCTTTGGAGATAAAGTAGTCCGTATAGTTAACTAATTAAGCACTACGCCATGAAGGAGTGTGGCGAAGTGGATGCATACAAGTAGATCCACATATTCTTGACTTCAGCACTAGTTGGAGGCGAGTGGTTCATTAATTAACACAGCTGTTTTTAAGGGCAACATTGCCGTGTGGATCATTCCTTGCAAGGTGTCTGTCTCTTTTGATTAACAATTTCATCAGGCTGTTCCAAAATATACTCAACTTCAATCTGTCTACATCTTAAAGCACAAGTACTTAAGTGTAGAAAAGGGATGCATATGAACAGTGAGATACCCCAAGACTGGAAAGAACATTTTGACACCTTAATTTTGGCCTTTGAGTACTTTATGATGATTCTGGTGCTCTCACTTTAGAAGTGGAAATCATCGCCATTCTATAGATTCCTCTTTTTTTTTCCTTTGGCGCTACAGCCCCAATTTGGGCCTTGGCCTACCTCCATGAAACTCTCCGTTTCACTACGGTTTATTAGATCTTAGACATTCGGTAGGAGTCCCTGGGCGGGTGATCAGCTAGTCGCAAGGCCTCTACCTATACACAAACACTGAATCCATGCCCTGAGTGGAATTCGAACTCACGATCCCGGCTTCCGAGCGAGCGATAACAGTGCATGCCTTAGACCGGCTCGGCTACCGTGACCGGCCGATTCCTCTTTTATAAGCTGATAAATGTTTCATATAATTAAGACATATCTTATTGTAGAACAAGACTGCTCATTTATTTCTGTTACAGTAACCCCCGTTAATATTCTAATGTTCTAGATCATCTCTCCCAGTGCTGTTTGCTAAACAAAATTTTGTTTGTATTTATTATTTCCCCCACACTTGATTCTACTAATTTTTAGTTTACGTTCCTTATTTTGAAGAAATGAAAGTAGTCTTATGTGGTCACCATGCTGTCTCTAAAGGCCTGTAACAGGACGCGAAGGCCCATAGGGTTGTGAGACGTCGAGGCTCCCACATTTTCTCCAGACAGTCGGTTCACACATGGCGATAATGTTGTCAGCCTTACGCCCCGGCCGCCCTTTACCCCCCAGGAAGAATCCTGGAACTCATTTCTGTTAGAGACGGAGTCGACCCCAGGGCCATAGTGAGGCTGAAAGAATTAGGTCAATTGAAAAAAATCCACATCGGGACTCGAATCCGCGACCTTCCGGCTTTTAGCATAGTGCCTGAACCAACTAAGTTACCGCGTACCACCTTTGAATGCCTGACCAGTCTTTATGAAACTTGGTATATATATCATACCACCTAAGCCTATTTCAACTTCGTACTTCATAAATCCCTCCCATAGAGGGGGTTGGAGTCCAGCTGGGTCCACTCGGCACGGCGGCCACTGATTGGCCTATTGTAGTCTGTCCCGGGTGATTATGATGATGGAGAATTTGGTGGAATGAAGATTGGCAAGGGAAATCGAAGTACTCGGAGAAAACTCGCCCCAGCGCCACTTTGTCCACCACAAATCCCACTTGACCAGACCCGGGATCGAACCCGGGCCGCCTCGGTGGGAAGCCAGCGACTAACCAATCCCTCCCACAAGCCTGTGTTTATATTTGTGTACCCCTATCGTTGTTAGGCAACGGTTCGGTAAAAACGCTACCACTGCAACGAATGCACACACAATAATAGAAGAATTGTTGGACGCGTCGTTTTCTGTGCGGTCCGTGTCGTATCAGAGGAAAATGCGCAATTAGTTCTTCCCCGAAATTCTTGTTCATCTTGTGATCTCCCTAAAAATTCACTGGTGAATGACACAGAATTATGAAGACCAGTTGCACACAACATAAGGCTCGTCAACACAGCCTCACAATCAGAAAGAACTATATATGTATACAAATGGCATCGTACACCAAAACCAGGCCACTAGCGCAAACCACGTGGTAGTACGCCGGTATAAACACACACAAATCTATTCCCAACGAAAAAATTCCGAGCATTTTACAATTTAAAGACGTCTAATAGTAGATTAACATAATGTAAAGAGCGGTAAGATGTAATATTTTAATGCAGAACGTGTATAGGAGCATTACACCTCGATATAAAACCCTTAATGCATAAGGTAAATATTGGCCAATGTTAAGAAGCAGTAGTCAAGGTAGCGGTGATTATGTCCGAAAGTAACATGTGCTTAAATAGGCACTTCACCACGAAGGCGTATAGGGGAATGCAGGTATATCTCCACGCGTTCTTAGTCTCAGTGCTAGATGGAGGTGAGTGGCCGGCTTCAAGCCCTGATACTTTAGCCTGGGCGATGAGCCCGCGGTATCCACCGGATGGGTAGGCTCCAGAGCACGTCTGGCAGCATGTCCTGCCCCATATGAAAGTGTTATATTATCAGGCGAGTGTGGGGGGGGGGGATCCTGGTCCTGATGGAAGAAGCTAGTTCCTGTCTCCATACCTCCCTCCTTACACCTTATTATTGAAAGGGATGCGCATTCCGAAACGTTCAGTAATTGAAATATTCCTGTCAGTATAGCGACTGCCTACGGGCTGGAAGACAGAAGGGTTGGAGTTCGAGCCCGGTATGGTCAGAATTTTCTCTTCTCCATATCGCCCAGACCGACATTGGGGTCCACCCAGCCTCCTATCCAATGGGTACCGGGCGCTCTTTCCCGAGTGTAAAGTGGCAGGGGAGTGGAGCTGACCACTCACCTCCAGAAAATACCGCAGTCAAGAAAATATGGATCTATGCATCCATTCCCCCATACACCCTCATGGAGTAGTGCTTAATTAGTTAAGCACAGAGTCAACTTTACCTTTTACCTGAGACACTAACAGTGTACAACAATAAAATAACGAATAGACCTTGTCACAGACCTTCAGAGAATCGTCTCTTACAACTGTCAGGAACTGAACCCCGATTCCTCGGGCTTCAAGCCCGTCTAGGGTCGTCTAGGTTCTATATAGACCGTTCAGACTAGATAATATACGAGACGCAGTACGGCAGTGATACGACACCCTTACGCATAAATTACGCCCGCTGCCTTAGAAATAGTCGCAGTTTGGAGCCGTCAGAACGTGCGAAGACGTGCGCTTGATCTTAGCTTAGTAGGCTTTCACTTGGGGCTTTCTTGTTCCGAATTTCGTGAGACCTTTCCTTCCAGTGGCGGGGGTATCAAGGAACTCAGGTAGCTATCTGAGCTTTAGTGACAAAACTTCTTGTAACGCTACTACTCGGAAAGCGAGACAGACACGAGAATATAACTGGAGCTTACTGAAAGAGTGATAATACGGTAACAGCGGCGAATTTGAATTTGGGAGTTGTGACACCAAAGAGGTAGTTACTTGTGAGATTTTACGTTCTGACGGAGTGATTATGGTCTCCTGGTAGCTTAGTAGATAGATACCAAAGCTTAGGAAGAATTTGCTGTCTTCTTCAGGGTAAACTCTGAACTATGACCAGTACTTGTAATATGACGTAACATAACTTGAATATTCAGTGGGAGTAAAGAATAAAGGAGAAGGAGCGGAAGAACGGAAAAAAGAAACATATGAAAGGGGATCAAAGGGAGGACAAAGAATGAGAACGAGGGAATGTTTTTCATAATTCTTGTATGGGGAACCCCCAAATTAAAAAGACTACTCTTAATGTTACGGTGATGGAGATTCGAAGTTTTTTATTATAAATACAAAAAATTCCTAGGCAATGCCCATCCGGTCGAAGATTGGAAGTTTTTTTATTGTAGGAAAAATTATACAAAAAAGGTCTAGGCAATGCCCGTCAGGTCCAAGATTCGAAGTCTTGCATTAATGCTGATGGCGCCATCTGTACTTACACGGGCGAACTGCTTACTTTGCTGCCATCTGGCGAATATGAGGTCTGATCGACGCGCTCCTTCTGTCTAGTGCTGCGCTGCTCGGTGACGCACCAAATCTCTTAAGCGGCCACCACAAACCGGAACCGATCCGATAGGGTGCATAAAATTGCAGTTTACCTGGAAAGAGGAACAGATGAAGCGCTGATTCATTGTCCCTCAGGAAAAGTACCTTTTGACGCAAGGATCTGTAATGTAGACAGTTCCAAGGAAGTTGGCAGTACCTGGCGCACCTCGATTTACACTTTATTCATAATCTTGAGAATTTGTAAATTTTAAAGACGTACATGGTATTTGATACTAAAAGTCGGGGTTCACGTTTATGTGTTTATATTGTCATGACTTAGCGGTTGTGACTATAGACGGGGTTTGGATTGGATGATTGGATTTATTGACCTCTTACAGACACCACTCAGAATTATAGTCAGTACAAGGCTATCGCTGATCTACACACTTTACATGTAAGATTTGAGGTTTTCACTGCGGTGACTATGAAGAATGCCATCTTCTTGGATGTGGCGCTGTGTAGATCTTGTGTGAACCGACGTTTCGGAGGAACGTATCGCCTCAATCTTTAGGGTAGAAAAATCGGCGAGCAAGGAACCAGCGTCAGCACGTGGCTCGGGATATACTACCAGGACATAATCTCTGTGAGTGAACCCAAATGTGTATTAATGATCTGTATAATGTACAAATAATTTGGGTACCCCAAATTCCGACGTTCCAAAAATTTCATGTCATTGTAGACTCAGAAACATGTCGGGGGTAATGTTGCTGATAGTGGTTCCATATTTGTATATAAATTCTGTTTTTCTATATATCCGATGAATTTTTGCTGGGTACATCGTAAGGCATGGGCGATAATATTGCTCATTTTGCGAATGCCAGAAAAAGAATAAACAAAGGCGGACATTTTTATTTCAATTTGGACTGCACACATTTTCCAAACGCGTTTTTTTTTTTCAGTTGCCATTACTCAATGGCCTTCGTGTCCGCATATCACAGATATGAATGGTGTCTGATTTATATTTTATGTTATGTAACAACTTTCGTCTCGTGAGCCGTTCTTATAAAACTGATCAATTCCGATTTGAGCTTCATGCAAAGAAAGTATAGACCAGGACCCGTGTATCGATAAACACTTAAAATGAAGTTGTTAAACAATTTTTAATGTGGAGACCCAGCGACAAAATAAATTGAAATGTGTCAAGCAGTACCGGAGATAAACATACGGACGTGCGGACAGACACCAAAACCTGCCTTTTATGCTTTCACTTTAGGCATTTTGTGCCAGGAACATGTAACATGTTGAAGAAAGCAGNTGTTACAACAAAAACAAAAGTAATGAAGGAAAGAATTACCATCTCTTCTAATAACTGATTTTCTTCCGTTATCTTCACAGCACCTCATCACGTTGAAGTAATAAATTAAGACTAGGGTTGTCATCTCTCTGGGAACTGGGAAAATTTCCACTGAAGATCCACATTCCTTAGGAAGCGCCCTTCTCCGTGTTGCCATCTGCAGACACATTATGGAACTAACGTGTTACGTAACTCAGGAAGTGGTGTTAAGTTAGCCGGGTTTGGCGCCACACAATTCTTTGCCACAAGAAGTGCAACTTAAAATAAGAAAAGAAGACACATATTCCACTGTGTGGCGATTCGTAGCTTATACGCAATAGCCGTTCAGTTCCTTCGCTTGTTGCGCTGCTAACGGCGTCACAGACAAATGAGCAGAGCAATGTACTCTCAGACTGCAGCTTAAACAGGCGTTCAGTATTCACGAAGAATATTTGCGTTTCACTTCCACGTCGTACATGAAATTAACGCAGACAGGTGAGGCTGTGCCCGCGTAATCAACTTGGAAGTGCCATCATAGGCACTACGAAAAGGATTTCTATAAGATTGTAAGGTCCGGACCTGAGACAGGGATTAGCTCTATCGATTGAGCCCTCTCAGATATGTAATACCAGAAACGTGGAGCTTTCTATAATCCCACCTCCGGCATGCCGGGTTGTGAAGCGAGTGGCGAGCACTGTACGCCTTACACCTCTGTTTCCTACATTAGTTTTGTCATATAGGCCAACAGGAAAACTGTTTGTTTCTCCACAAAAAACCTTCCAACTAGCAGGAAATGTTTAATAAGCACGAGAGTTAACAGGGATCAATATACACATATAAAGTCATCGTTACTTACTTACTCATGGAGCTGAGCCCTTCTTGAGGAATCACCAAATCTGCCGATACTCAAGAATTTCCCTGCATTCTGTGGAACCCGAAGGTTCATTACCGTGTCCAAAAGGGCCCTCCACTGATCCCTCTCCTGAGCCAGATCAATCCAATCACATCCTCTCTCTCTACGATCCATTTTAATATTGTCCACCCACCTACGCTTTGGTCTTCCCAGTGGTCTCTTTCCTTCTGGCTTTCCCACCACAATCCTATATGCATTCCTCTTCTCCCCCTTTCGTGCTATATGCCATGCCCACCTCATCCTCCTTGACTTGACCATCGTTAGTCATCGTTACTAAAACTAAAATAGTCGCATATAATTGAATATCTCCTTCAAGTTGCAAGTTGATAGTTCAGGATGTGGGAGATCAGTGTGCCTCCACTCGCGCTGACTCGATGAATGATAGCACAGTCTGGCAAGTGACTGGCAGAAATAGATAACCATCATCTTTTTGGAAGCGTTACCCCGGCATGTAACGCCTAGGAACAAACGTAAAGTAAAGATAGACCTGAGGTTCATTCACTTGTAACATGAAGTGTAGCAAGAGTCGCCATTTTGCGACTATATCTGTCCCACAGCGGTTTCACTGCTGCAGTGCCATTTCTGCACCAATTCTCGTTAAGGGGGATGAGAGAACGGGACATGCAACACACGTGATTTTGTGGGGGTTGAAAGCGCGTCAGTGTATAAGACTATTTGCGTCTGTATAAAAATAAAATCTGAATATAATTTTACAATCATTTTTAATCAGAGATAAAATCTTATGATCGTCGCCCCGGGCGGAATGCCGCCCACCCCGTCAGAAGTCGCGGAGAGTTGGAAAATGCTGATGTGATTTAATCCGCAGATTTTACAGGAAATGTAGGCAAGATGGGAGGAGAGAACTAGGGCGTTGATTAGATATATTGAGCTCACAATAGTGACCACTAGCAGCTTCCTATATGCATGGACCTTCGGGTTCAATAAAAGGCTATGAATTTCTTGACTACAGATATTATGTTTTTGCACATTATGCATCGTCCTGTCTTTATCTAAAACCACCCCGTTTATTTTTCAAAACAACGTTTCGGAGACTGCATTCTAGTCATTTGGGCCCAATCGATAGCGGCCGCCCATCA